CCCCAAAACCCCAAAACCCCAAAACCCCAAAACCCCAAGCTGCACGACTCCAGTTGAAAATTTGCACCTTATTATCTACCCCTTTCTTTTCCACTGAGGTTTTCCAACTACCTTTCCTGTTGTCCACCTTCCTCCTGAACCACCATACTCTGATCTGGTAATGTCAAGCTATATTGTGGTTAAGTCTTCTTAATAATTTCCAACACTCACAGAAATCAGAGGTTAAACATAGCGAAAAGAGTGATTAGAGTACCTGGTTGAAGGCGCTTGTGCGGTGAGAAGTTGACCCTTGAGTGTTTTGAGGACTTTTCTGTTGCGGACGTAGAGGGAATGTCTATAGGGATGGAAGGGAGGAAGTTGGGGTAGGAAAGGAAGGAGGGATTAGAGGAGTAGTTCTAGGAAGAAGGAGTTGGTAGAAAGTTGTTAAAGAGGGATTTTTGGCACCAATTCGTGAGGCTTCTTAATCTGAATAATATTGGAATTTATATCAAAATATATAGGAAATATAAGGTTTAGAAATAAAATGAGGGTAGTTATTACAAAAAAGAAAATAATAGATATAATACCTTGAGGCTTTGATAGTTTCCTGTCTTAAAACTTCTTCGGGATTCAAGTGAAGTCTCTTTTGATACTCGGAGAGGCTGATATTTTGAAAATTTACTTCTAGTAGATTTAATTAGATCTTTATAATCATAAAACTCAGTTTTAGTAGGATCAAATTTCAAATTTTCATGATCTTCTTCATCTCTCCATGTGGTGCCTCCCTCATTTTTGGAATAGATTCTATTTGATCAATGAGCACAAATAAAACTGATTTATTAAAAAGCCAAAGTTAAACTAGTTCCCAGAAAAGGAGCCTTTTAGAATTACTTGTTGCTAGTTTTTGGAAGGAAATAATTTGGATCGACAAATTTGCTATTTCTTTCAATATTGAAGTCTTGAACCATGACTGGGCATTTGAATACATTAGGTTTATTTAATTGCAATGCTTTCAAACCCATCTTTGTCTCTTCTTTAGATTTTGCTCCATCTATGTCTCTTGAAGAGTGAAGTGTGTTCACATTTATGCTTTTGGTTGAATATTGGGTATTATCCTGAATTTCAACATCTCTTGTGGGAATCTTTGAAGGCTCTAGTGTGATTGTGCTAACTTCAACATCAACTTTGTTTTTAGTTTTTAGATATTCAGCAGTATCAACAGAAGAGTTCTTAGTTTGTAATCCTCCAGACATTATGGAAGTGTTGATTTCAAGCATATTTTTATCTAAATATTCGAATAGTTTATTTGATGTATTCTTCCTTTTCTTTCTCAGATGGAGAACTAGAGCTAGTCTTTTTATTTAGATTCAAATTCTATGGTATAAATTGGGCTAATACCGATTCGTTTGAGGACTTTTCTGGGATAGAATGGAGAAGAGAAAAATGTGTTTTGAACCATTCTTCAACTTTTGTCTCCATCATGCTTGAAATTGGACTTTTCTTTATGACAACTACTTCGCTTTTGCTATGGAAAGTTAATCCGCAAATAAAATACTTTTGAGGAGTAAATGAATGACCTTCAAGTTGTACTGTAAATATCGGATCATTCAAAAACTTGGAGATACTTTGGTTATTTTTAATATCTATGGGTCTTATCATTCTTTCTGATAAGTATAGTTCATTAATTATGCTATAACATAATCTAAATTCATACCTTTCCTTCTGTTTGATACTCAGCTTTGGACATTTATTCAGGCGTTTACAAGACTCTTCAATGAGATTATTAATTTTTGAAGTCTTCCCAATAGATTTTGGAGAGTCTTGAATGTCAAAACTTTCATCTTCATCTGACTCAAAAGGATCTTCTTTGAATTTGATCAATTGTAAAATATAAAGTTTGATAAGCATTCAGCTGACTATGCCTTGATTCGATTCCAAATGTCGATATTTTTCCAATGCTTTCTCTCAATTCTTTAAAGCTTTTTCTGTAGAACCATCCGAATCTGTTTCTAACAAGGAGAGGGAGAGAAGCTTGTACATATTAGCTCTGGTGAGGCTATCTCCGTGCAGACATCTTCTACCATAAAAGTTCAAAACAGTTAGGCAATCATTTATTCTATCTATTTTTAGCAATACAGTTGCAAACAGGATTACAAGCCGGTCGTGGACCTCAATGGAATGAGTGTCTCTCTTCTGTGTAGGGTTTTCAAATTTTGTGGTATTTTTATGAAAATAAGTATTCCTGTGAACTTTAGGACCAGGGACTTTCAAAAGATTATTTTGAGAGACGTTTATATTAAAATCTCTATAAGCAATGAATTCTTCTTCATCTTCCTTCTCAATTTCTATTGGGAGTTTTAGTTTCATTGCAGATTTACCGAAGGTACTTATTGAAGGGCTATTTATAATTTTACTTGATTGATATTTAACATCCAGAATATCATCCTTTATCTTGAGTTCTGTATCAAACTTTGCTGAATTAGCAGTATCTGTACTCTTCAATGTCAATCTTATTTCTTTTTCAGATCTCATGGCAATATGATTGTGATCCAGTATTCTGTTGACATCTTCTGACATAATTTTATTATTGTGAAGCATATCTAATTTTCAAAATCTGGAATCTTCTTTATAAGCCTTCTTTTCTTCTTTTGTTTCTGAATTAGTTTTAGAGATTGCTGAAAGATTTTTGCTACTCCAAGATTTCGATAACATTTCTGTTCTTTCGTTTTTGTTAGCTTTATTTGCTTTCATATTGCTCACTGGAGTCTTGGATAATATTTCAAGATCAGCAGTATGCTCAATGAGGTCTGAACTATCACTAGAGGATTCACTCTGATTTCTCTGGTTTGATTCTTGCTGGTTTTTAATTCTTTGCCAAATATTAACCTGATCTTTTTCCTCAGAATTTTTATATGATTGTAATTGCTTGTCAATGTTGTCTTCTTGTGAAGACTCTAAGCTACTATCTTCTTCATCAGAAGAAGCATCATTAGAACTTCGATCTTCTTCATCTGGAGAACTAACCTCTATTCTAAAATGTCCTGTTGAGGCTTTATTGAGTTCAAGATCTTTTTCATTATTGTTTTCATCATGACTCTCTGTTGATATGCTTTTTGATGTAGCTAAAGAAGCAATAAGTGTGATAAATTACTATTCTCTTTCTTTGTTGGGATAGGATTTATCTCAAAAGTAAACTCTGATCCTTTATTTTGAGGAATCAAAGGGCTTCCAAAGTAACTTGATTCAGCTTTCTATTAAGTTAAAATTTAAGATTACCTTTTCGTCTTCCTCTGAGATTTGTTGCATTTCTCCTTTAACTAAAATTATCAAATTAGAGTACTGCTTAATCTTCTTGATTCTTCACCCTTTACTTCCTCATTGAAAGTTGAGATTTTTATTTTTGGACTCACTTGTTCTCTTGAAAATGAAATAACCTTTTCTTCCTCTTCTTGATCTTTTTCTATTATAGAAATATTTTCAAAATCTAAATCTGGTGAGAAAAAAGCATGCCTTTCATTGGCTTAAATAAGCTTTCTCTTCTGTTTTGATATTTTCCTGTGAAGCAAGACTCGAGGATACTATCTGTATCATTCTTTTCAGAAGCTCCAATCTTTGAAAGACTTCTCTTATACATTGTCTTTCCTCTGATACAAGAACTCTGATGTAAGTGTCAGCGTAATTTAATAGTGAAAATGCACAATTAATACTTGATAATCTTACCTTTGGGGGTATGAACGAACCTCTTCTACCAAAGTTTCAAGGACTTCCTGGAAACGCTTGAGAAATGGTTGTGTTTAAGAATGATTTATTATTCTTCATGATTGCTCTACTCTCTAATCTATTCAATGCTTCCCAAATATTTTCTTCGTACATCTCAACAAGTTTTAATTTTTCATTATCTATGTAGAGAATGTTAAATTTACACCCAGTCATATAGAAAGATAGACTATCGACAATAGTTAATTTGAGTTAAAATTATAGCTTTATAGATCTGAAATTGAGCCCTAATGTATTGACTTAACAATATCCTGTAACAATGAATAACTTACCAGCATTAATAATTTCTTCTAAAGTCTGATTCATAAACTCAACAACCTTTTTGTCAAATTCATCTTTCTTGTTGTTGCTAATCTCCTGCTCAATAAGCTTTGAGAGAGAGGACTCGATTCAATAAAATGAAATGACAAGATCTGACTCAGATGAAGTTCTGTTAAAATTAGAAGTGAGCCTACCTCAAATGTCTATTTGTGTTCTTTTTAAGCAAATCTTCTTCAAAAACTCTCTTTTCATAGATCAAAGATCTATCTTTTAATAGATCTACCCATTTGACCCAATCCTTGGAGAGCTTTTTACAATGGAGATCACTAAGCCCATTTGGGCAAAGTGATAAATGCCTGAGAGCATTTATAACATCTTTACTTTCTGAAGCAATATAATCTAAAGATATTTGCAGGGCAAGCATCACTGATATGTTGTTCTCTGGAATCCTTGCATTCTGTTTCTTATTTTATTTTTAGAAATATCTCAAGCATTGAATAGCCTACACTTTAATGATAAAATACTTACTATCTGCATTTGATGATACCAAAAGACCACAAAGAGGATTTCCTCCTAATCTTTGAAACAACTCGTGGTTATAAAAGGGTCACAAGTTTCCCATTTCATCAAGATGGTTAGTCTTGATGCAAAGCTCATGGAACTCATTCCTGACTTCTTCTTCACTCTTTTTCGGAGGAATTATTAGCTTGTACATTGACTTACTAGATAACTCCCCAAGACTTATTTCCCTCAAATCAATTTGATTCTGGATGTTAATGCTATTCTTTGAAGTAATTATGATTTTTGAGTTTTGAACTTTTTCAGAAATATCCTCTATCAGCCCTTTGAATTCTTTTTCTTTATTTTTGTAAAAATGCATCTCAGTTATCTAAAAGTATAAGCACTTCAAAATCTTTGATGTTATACAATCATGAGTGATAAAGTTCTTCAATATTAGAGTTGATGTAATTCATTAATTCTTCTCTTTGAGAAGAGTTAGTTAATGAGTATTTTATGGTCTTGAATAAGTGCTCAACAAAGCTTTCAAAATCTGCTATATTTTTCAGAGATAAGTATAACACTCCATCTTTACAATGATCTCTATCATAGATCAAATGTGCCACTTCTTTAGCAAGAGCAGACTTTCCTATACCATATTCTCCAGTTATCCACACTCCTTGATGAGTAGATAGACTCCTGATAACATCAACTATTTCTTCTTCTCTTCCCAACAGTTTTCTTCCTTTATCAGGTAAGGCTTTAATAGATGGTACAAAAGTGGTATTTATAGACTCTCCCTGATAAAACTTGAAAGTCCTAGTTCAAGTATTAGGCCTATTCTGATGATTGGACAATCATATAAACTTATACCCTTCTAGCTCTTTAAAACGATCAATTACAGCTTTCTTCCCTTCTTCAAAAGCTTTGCATACTGAATTTTCATTACCATTAAGTAAGTATCTGTAGAATGTTTTGACAAATGTGAGACAAGCTTGGTCTTTGACTTCTCATTCTCTTCTAATTCATATAACATGCTCTATGCCTGCTTTCCTGAAAACTTCCCCTACCTTCTGAGAGTGTCACGATAAAACTACAGCTAGTCTAATTCCTTCTCCAGCTTCGTTGTTTTCTTTGTAGTTTACAAATATCTTGGCCAATTTGGACTCTGTGAGGTTCTCATTAGTCAGATCTTCTTTTTCAATTATAAGAAAATCCTCTTTGTTGAATCCATTGCGAACATCCCCATGGCCAGAGTAGTGAAAGATTATGGGCTTGTATGCATGAATGTCTCGTAAATTTTGCATTGTTGCCCAGATTCTTTTGAATCTTACTCATGTTGGTAAGTTCTAGATAAAGAATTATTAAAATTAAAATCCTAATTTCTATAAACATTGGTTATTTTATGAAAATTATCTCGATCTTTGTAATAATGGTTATTAGAAAGTTCCATAACATACCATTATTGTCCTATTAATTATTTTGAACTCCTCTCTGTGATTAAGGAGCTGAATTTTACTTATCTCTGCTTCAGGAGATTCTTGGAATATTTGTGGACTAGCAAACGCAAATGCAAGATCTAGTTTATTAGATTGTATCAAATCTCTGCTTCGTTGATTTTTACTAAAAGATCCGAACCTATTCGAAAACTCTCCCATATCTAGCTGTGATTTATTTGTTTTTGGGACAAAAGAATTAGCTTTCCCCATTGACATCCTCTTAATATTAAGATTATTTAGAAGGACTACTAATCCTACTCTCCAAGTTCGGTTGCTCAACCCCGTGGCCTCCAATGACCACCTTATACATAACCCCAGTATCACCCATAGTATCCACAATATAGCCATCTTTCTCTTCAAACTCATATCCTTCCTCTAAAAATAACCTCTCTTCCTACGTAAAACCTGCAACAACTGTTCTATATCCTTAATCTCTACTATTTCCTTCTTCTCCTTCTTCCTAAACCCATTACCCTATCTCTCACTTAAGCTCAGTTGCCATTTTGGTTTATATATTTTATTTATGTGCTAACTTGCCTAGAGCGGTATGGGGTTTTGGGGTTTTGGGGTTTTGGGG